TGTGCAGTCTGAAGTAACGCTTTAGAACGGATTGTATCTGAACCAATTCTATTTCCACTGCACTCTTTCAACATCCAGTGGCGAATATGATGGAAAAACGACCGATGGTCTTTAACTCTACCCTGTAAGCTGTAGGGAGTTGTCAAAACTTTTTCTGAGCAAAACCGACCGGAGATTCAGTCATTTTCAATGATCACCAAACCAAGTTTCACCTTCAAGAATTGAGGGAAGCAGAACTGGGTCCAGCCTGAGCTCAAGGCTATTGCCCAGCATTTCTGTGAACAATTCTGAAGCGCGAACAGCGGCGTGAAACTACACTTGTCTTAGAGCGAGTCGAACAATTGTAATTTCCCATAGTAACAATTATAAAAGAGTGTAGATGTCCAACCATGTGGTGTACCGACGTCTACAGCAAATGGTGCATTTGTAACCATCTCGCGGCGCAACTTCTTATTAGCTCTGATGAAGACTTCCTGAAAGCAAAATTTTGCTAAATTGTCAGGATACCGAGCACCTTTTATTGAAGCATGCAGAGAAAGTGCTTGCAAGGTTCCTCTTGTGTCACTAGTATTGCAGGAATCGCAGACCTCTCGTTTTATGTCCATAGTCTTGGACAATTGTATCTTCGTTAGATTTTCATTTCCATAGACCATGAGAGCGTACTTATATCCTGTAAGAGATTAAAGATCACCTGTTCCTCGAGTGTATGAACATATGTAAAGTGTTGTTACTGCAAAAATCGGTGTTCGCCCTCAAGCTGTAAAAGGAGCTCAGTGGTATCGCGTCCAACTTCTTGAGATCAGCCATGATAATACAACCCGTGAAATTCACAATCGCCTGAAACAAATCGGAGCTACAGGGAAAGGCGTGTGTGCAGCAATATTTGCCAATAACAACAGGCATGGAAAAGGACTGCTCGCTGGACAAGCCAGTGCCAGAACCACTAACGGAAAACAATTCTTTCACATATGGATTCGGGATGAAAGCTAGTTCAGCCATGTGAAGGTAGACTCCACGCTGAAACGATCCCCAGAACTCCTTGTTCTAGTAATAGGGCACTCCATCTATAAGTGTATTCCACGTTCGCAGCTCCACACTGAGAAGCAAGGACACATCGTCGAAAGTTCACGGCTAGTCCATCAGAGACAAATATGTCATGTGATGCCTATAGTACAGATGTTAGGTCGGGACTACTAAAGTTCGATCCTTTTGTGCGATTTACGACTGCCACGGTTCTAAGCGTTGAAAACAGAGTGAATATACCAATTCATCTGCAAAGAGCCACATCAACAAAACAAATGATGTTCTAACAATACGCCGCTCGAAGACTTGGTAGCACTTACAACAGGGTCGTTTGATGGCCGCAAGGGCGTTCACCAGGTGAATTGAACGAGACCAGGACTCAAGTCGAGACAGAATAGGAAAAACAGAGCTGCTTCAGCTTGAAGTCACTCCTCACACACCCGGCCTCTACCTTGATTGAGAGGAAGCGCGAAAACCCCATATTGCCCAAGGAGCGCCTGACCTACAGGTCTTGACGGGGAATGGCGCCATATACCAGAGGGACGTGTCCAACCTATTGTACTAGTGACTCCCCCATAGCCTTCTCCTCACCACAGGCGCTTTCCTTCCACCTTGAATCAGCGTGTGGTTTCCGACGTCTTACAGCCCAACGCGTGAGGCAATCATCGCATTCTTCGGAGGTCTCCCTCAGAAGAGTGTACATGCTGTGGAGTCCAATCCATTTCACTTGGTAGGTTGCATTTTGATCCTGCTTTAGTTTAGGGATGGTGTAGTTTTGTAGGCCTTGGATTATCTTGCGATTATCCCACTTCTTCAGAAATAGTTCCCAGATCTACTTCATGTTGGAAACTCCTATTCTGTGCTTCCTCTCTTCTTTAATGCGTTGTACGAAATTTGCGCTGGAGAGTGTGAAAGCAATTGTGGAAAGGGGATGCACTCAATCAGTGACCCGCCGAGTTTCAGCATGACATCTTCAGCTACAGTGAAGTCGTCCAGTCAAGGAGATCCTCATCAACATTCTTCTTCAAAAACTCCACTACAACGATACACAAGCGCGTGGTTTGTCCTCAACATCCACAGTTCCTAGATTTGACAGATGCTCGTGGAATCATGATTCTTAGTGGGAAAAGAGTAATTGCTTATTAATCGAGAGGAATCCGAAGAGGTAAGTGTACTCTCAAAATGACAGGAGGACAAGAATGGTGTTTGTGATCAGGAACGTCCTGCCCGCCACAAAACTTTCCGCAAAATACGACCCCCTCCTTCCCTCCTAACTTTCCCGAGCCTCCTACTACATTTTGCAAAATTTCCCATTTCACTAAAGTTCTCTAGTTTTTCTCCAAAATTTTGCCATGGAGCAGAGGGTGGTAGGGGGAAGTACTCATCGATACTACTTTGCAGCTATCGAAAACAGCAGTGTAGTTGATCTTCCAACGGCGGGCAAATGCGACCCCCTCGCCCGCCTCGCTTGGAATTCCCCAGTTCTGATGTGAATAGCATCCGTGACATAGGAAATTTACCTGCTAAAAAAGATTTATCTCAAACCGAACACGACTTAATATCTGCGTTCTGCGCAGGGCACATCACTGGTTGGGGCTTTTGTCGAGTTTGTACCACCCCCCCCCCCTTTTTTTGGTGTTTGGTAGTTTGGTGCAACCCCCCTCCGGTCCCCTGTCCATGGAATCGAGCCGTGGGGGGGGGGGAGTGAATAACACGTGTGGAACAGGAAAAGCCACGAGATAAGTTCAGATTATCCCCTACTTCAAACATCCTGCCACCCACTTTTTCCAAAATTTCCCGAGAAGTTTCCTACTTTCCCCCAAAAATTTTGCTGTCGAGCGGGGGGGGGTATATAGTACGCATGAAACAGGAAAATCACAAAAAGTCAACCACCGCTCCTACAACGCCAAAACGTAAATACGACCCCCCTCCCAACAATGACCAAGTACGACCCTCCCTTTTTTTTACAACGTCCGTGAAGCGAGAAAAATCAACTATCAAAATAAATTTTTCCCAGCCCAAATACGCCCTCCCACATCTCCTGGCGACCAAATACGACCCCCCCCCCCATTGAAGGTGCCTCAATAACGACTGCGCAGCGGGATGGGGGTCGTACATGGTTCTGCGACCATGTACGACCCCCATCCCGCTGCGTATTCCTTAGCGTAAGACGTGCCCTATTCGTGATGCGAAGTTCTTCTCGGTAGTCGGCCTGGTTGTGTAATGGATGACTGTGCGCAGCTAGACTGGTCTTTTGCAATCTAGGGAAGTGGAAGGTTCCAGCATTAAAGGATATAACTTTTTAGTCTTACATAGAACTTTGGATACTCGAACTCGTCTCCTGTCATATTTCCATAAATAAAATTACATTGTCTGTTTATGGCCCAGAAAAATCTATTTTCTCCACTGAAAAAGCACTCTGAAATGAAATCTTCATCCTGAGTCTTCATAGAATACATAAATCTGTAGATAGATACAATGTGTAGTCGGCCAATACAGCGCAATATGAATCGCTCAGTGAAATAGCAGATTCGTTTCCATTACCTGCACCGGAATGCCTACCGACGAACGCTTTCCTTTCCGGTTAGCATGCGATCCACTGAACAGCATTGGCAACATTCCTTATCAGCCCCTATCAGCTGTTATCACCTCACGTGCCGTGTCCCCATCTCCAACTCTATATCATTTTCTGAAATTAATGCCTAGCTGATGCTGTGTTCCGCGTTATGAGTATGGTGACCTTACCATTCTAACTCCCCTTATCAAATCCTATCAGCTGCTATCATTCCCTGTCACCCATCAATAATGTTCCTGTCCCACGTCCTATATCATACCTTGGAACCAATGTCCCACTGTTACTGTGTCCCGCACTATGGGCTCGGTCACCCTCCCTTTCTAAGGCCCCTTATCGAATCTTATCAGGTGCTATCACATTCTATCACCCACCAAAAGTGTTCCCGTCCTGCCATGTATATCACTTCTTGGAACTGTCGTCCTATCTTTTCTGCGACGCTCGCTATGAATTTCGTGACAGACAGACAGACGCACACACAGACACACACACACACACACAAGAAGAAAGAAGTATGCACACTGAGCCTTTGATACTTGGGGGTATAGTGATAAGAGAGGTAATGATAATGGCTCCTTATCCTTTCTTATCAATTGATAAGATCCTGTCACCCGTCATCAATGTCCCTATCACTAAAACTCTATATTGGTAGTGTAAAGGCTCCAGCAATTTGACTGAACAGCATTGGCAACGTTCCTTATCAGCCCCTATCAGCTGTTATCACCTCACGTGCCGTGTCCCCATCTCCAACTCTATATCATTTTCTGAAATTAATGCCTAGCTGATGCTGTGTTCCGCGTTATGAGTATGGTGACCTTACCATTCTAACTCCCCTTATCAAATCCTATCAGCTGCTATCATTCCCTGTCACCCATCAATAATGTTCCTGTCCCACGTCCTATATCATACCTTGGAACCAATGTCCTGTTACTGTGTCCCGCACTATGGGCTCGGTCACCCTCCCCTTCTAAGGCCCCTTATCGAATCTTATCAGGTGCTATCACATTCTATCACCCACCAAAAGTGTTCCCGTCCTGCCACGTATTCTTGAACTGTCGTCCTATCTTTTCTGCGTGAATTTCGTGACAGACAGACAGACGCACACACACACACACACACACACACACACACACACACACACACACACACACACACACACACACACACACACACACACACACACACACACACACACACACTTACAGACATACTTAGCGGACTTATATATAGTAGGATCAACTTATCGATCGGAGCAGTGCAACTCGTCAGTCAGACTACTCACGGCAAGCGTGAAGACACCCTTTCCCATCCCTTTGATATTCATATTTGAATGGCTAGGCGGGACACACGCTTCTTCGCGCCGCGTCGCCGCCTACGCTGGCCAGTGCGGCAAATTAGGCTGTGTTTATACTTTGTGGCAGCGCAGCGTAGCACCTCCAGCGTACGCCAGCGGCAGAAAGGATAGGTATCGATCTAGCGTTCCCAGCGCCACTAGCGTAACGCTAGCGCACGCTAGTTCTCTGAACGGAGTTATGGAGCCGTGTTTACCACGCAACAGGGGATCGGATCCCTGCTGAGCTTAACTTTTTTGCTTGTTGCGCAAACGTGGCAAAAAGTGATTTTGCCGTCACTACTACTTCAGTTCTCACCTGAGCTTGTCTGAAGAAAAGTTTGCCTCCATTTATTACTGCGCTTGGACTCCTTGTAGACTACAGTGCACTACAGTGCTTCTACAAGGAGTCCAAGCGCAGTAATAATGGAGGCAAACTTTTCTTCAGACAAGCTCAGGTGAGAACTGAAGTAGTAGTGACGGCAAAATCACTTTTTGCCACGTTTGCGCAACAAGCAAAAAAGTTAAGCTCAGCAGGGATCCGATCCCATGACCTGTTGCGTGGTAAACGCGGCTCCATAACTCCGTTCAGAGAATCGCTTTGCAAATTTTGAAGGCAGATTCAAGATCAGCGTCCAAAACCACGTCTAGTGATCTACATCTCATCACAAATGGCCACTTCGACCTGACGACCTTCCCTAGTGAGATCCCGCACCGAAAACACGCACTCGGCGGTAGAGAGCAAGTAGAAGTGAGAGGGCGCAGACAGACAAGCAGAGCACTTGGCCACCATTCGGCTTGTCGCTGGCTGCTTGGCATCGCGAGCCGGTGGTTGGGGACCGCACCCGAATGCCAGTAGCTTCCAGCCTCGTTCCCATGCAG